TGTCGGCTTGAGCAGCTCTGCAGAAAAACAAACCTGACTCTGTGCCAAGCGAAATAAGGAAGCAGAACACTGCAAATAGTTCAGGAGGCCCGTTGCCCACAGAGATGACAGACTCAGGAGCTGCCTTCTGCAGACAGGAGGTGGTTCCTAACTGGTCTTTTTTCTTTTTTTTCCCCACCTTTTCTCCCAGCACTGCCTGTTTCCGTGCAGCCATGTGCTTGGGTTACCTTCTGGCTCTGCACATAAAGAGCATAGCAAACAGTGCAGCAGTTACTTTCAAATTTACCATCTTTGCTTGCTGCCTTATGTAGAGGGGAACAAGAAGTGACAGGATAAGGTTTAAGGATCCACAGTACAATGCATGTAACTGTTCAGAATCCAGTCTACATTCCATRTTGGTACTAACCAAATATTGTGGTTGGGATTTGTTTCAGTGTTTGGCCACCAAAATCTTCCCTAGCAAAAGCTCCACAAAACCTGAGGCAATGTTAATCCAGCTTTAAAGTCCGTCTGTGGGAAATGTTGCTTTGTTCCTAATTGCAGCTGACTCAGTCCTTGGTCTCTTGCTTGCAGAGATATGATCACAATAAAAATGAGAAGATCCTTCCAATCAGTCTGGAGCCATCTTCCAGCACGGAGCCACCCCAATCCAACCTGAGGTATGAGATGGGTTGGGTGAGAGGTGACCCAACTGTGGGACTGGCAGGGAACMAATTCCTTTCATGTCACTAAAATTTCGAGTTGTTGGCATTGTTTCTCTTAAGAATCTAGCATGGCAAAAAAGCTGTTTTTGAAAGGGTGGTGCCTGTGAAGTCACTCACTTAATGTGGGACACTTCAGACTGGAAGTTTATTTTCTAATGTGCAAAGCTAATGGGCAGTGGGGAGGGAAAGAGGTGAGGAGAGGAATTTTGGCCAGAATATGCTTTGCACTTTATATGAATTTCAGTGAGAGGGTTTTTACTGGACCAATTTGTTTCAGCAAAATGGTTATGAGCAAGAAGTTCCACTATAGTGGYAGAAGATTAAAACAAAATCACAGGTAGTACTTCACATAAAACTACTTTTATTATTTTTTGCCAGTGKTTTTTTGCCTGTAGGTCTTGTCTGTGGGATGTGGTTAAATTCTCCAACCACTGCATTTACCTAAAGCACATAGTGCTGCTTTGCTAATGCAGTTTGTTTGAAAGGGTGTGTGGTTTTCYTCTGTGTTCTGTCAGTGGAAYCCTGTGAGGAACCAGGACAAGATTAATGCAGTTGCCCGGGGATAWAATGAGCTTGGAATCCAGAAGYAACAGGCTAAGAAGTAAAGAGCAGMGTGGTTTGGGTCATGGAGATTGTTAACTGCATSAGTGGCACTAAGAGRTTGTTGTAGAGGATGGATGGTGCAAGAAGCCACAGGGGGAAGGGAACATTCCTCCCCGTCCATAGCCAGTGGAGGATAGTGAATAACAAAAGTCCYAGGAATTTGGGGTGTAACCTAGGATAGCTTCTCCCTTTGGGATAAACCCTGCTAATGCTGAAATAATGTTTCTTCCTGACCTAATTAGAGTCTGGGGTTTTCCCATCCCGAGCGGGCTGTAGCTGGGAGGAAGTCTGGCTTTCATTTCTCTGCTGTTCCCAGCAGCCTGCTCCGAGCTGTGCTCTGCTGCACATGCTCAGACCTCCCRAAATGACATCATTTCACTTCAAGTAGGAAGGCTTGTCGTGTTCTTGTCTCACTCAGTGTGCTCAAGAAAGCTCTGGGTAGGTGCAGGGGCCATTATTTGGGGATGCTGCGGTGTCTCCTGGAGGGGCAAACCCGTGCAGAGGCTGAAGTGCAGCAGTGTGGGCTCTGAGCAGTGCATTCCTGCCTCGCCGTGGATGCAGCACTGGGGGCTGCCWGGCCCCTCCTTGTGCAGCCAGGATTCACATGTCAGCAGAATCTCTGGATTTCTGTAGTTGGGTTTCATGCTAAGATCTTCTGCTTTTTCTCTTCCCAGTGTCAGTGCAAAAATAAAGGCCATTGAAGCCAAGCTGAAAATGATGGCAGAAAATCCAGATGCAGAATATCCTGCAGCACCTGTTTATTCTTACTTCAAACCGCCGGATAAGAAAAGGACTACTCCTTACTCCAGAGCTGCCTGGAAATCCAGAAGATGATGCTTGTGAATGGATGATGGTAGCAAGAAACACTGCTTTGTATACCTGGAGTCCTCCAATGCTTTTGTACTTTTGTAGAGTGGGAAGGACRATGCCACCTGAGCAGGGCACAGCCAGCACAGCCCTCTGTCACACCTGAGGCTCTGCAGGCTCCTGCCAGTGCAGCTCACAACTGAGGGCTGCTCAGAGAAATAGGTTCCCTTCAAAGCCTGGGATGAACACACAGGCAACCTCTCGTTAGTGTGCATTCATTAGCCAGATTAGAAACARTAGCCAGCATTCGGAGTAAAGCAGATCCAAAAATATTCCATTTAACTGATTACTTTTTAAAGTATTTTTGAACAAAATGTATTCCAATTCATGTTTTAATGGAAAGGGAAGCACTTGGTTTTGATTAACGTGCTGTAGTTATCATGGAAAAACTTTTTCATCTCAATAAAACTCATTTTAAATAGATCTTGCAACACCTTTAATAACTGTGCATGCAATATTTCATATGCACCAAAGCCAATTGATTTTGCATTTTGATTTGCAGACTCCACAATGTTATTTCTTAACTTTAAGCTAATGACACWGCACAGGTATTTTCAGTGTCATTTAGGCTGCAGGTGTAGAAATTGGTGGATTTATACACCTTGAGCTCTGTGCTGTGCCCTGAGCTTTGGCGTTTGTGTTCGCTGATCCCTGACAGCGGCAGCTCCTCGTGAGCCAGATGTGACTGTGGGAGTAACAGCAGCCTCTGAGACACTGCCACACCATGAGCTCAGAGTTTGCCCCCTGTCCTGCCCAGCTCTGGTTTTCCACTGGTCAGCTGCTTCTTGGCATGAGGTGGCACCCGGGTTTGTGATGAGCTGGGATTGCCCCAGGGGCCAGATCCACAGGTCTGATGGGAGGCGTTGCACTGAACCATCTGATCCACAGCACATATTCTCCCTAAATACCTGCAAAATGGAAATCTGAGGAAAAAAAAAACATTTTCTGGCAGCATTTTCTCCTTYGTGCACACGGTACTGTGACTGCATGTGCCAGGGGGATGTCAGAGAGCTCACGTGCTCGGGTCCAGGTGACACTGGGCTGATTTTCTGATACCAGCTCTCCCCAGTCCTGTCAGACCTYATCAGTCACTCCTGAGTTACTCCTCTGAGCTGGTTAATGGTGGTCTCACAGAGGAGGAGGAAACAATTCGGGAAGAGCCCCGGTTCGTGCAGGCAGGAGTTGCTCAGTGGCACAGCCCAGAGAGGTTTGTATTCCTGCAGCAGCAGCACACCTCCCTCCAGGCAGAGCTCGCTCCCTGCTGCCGAACCGAGCACCTGGAACGCAGCCGTGCTTGTCTCTGGTGGAGRATTGTTAAAAGCCTGAATTGTTCAGAAGTAGGTCTCGTGCTGTTCATGTTTGTTTCCTAGTTTTTGGGTACCTGAGTAGAGGGAAAAGTAGGATTTTTGAGAGTTTGTACCCCTCTGAATGTCAGTGACACCCGTTTGCATTCCTCTGTGAACAGCCTGTGTTTGTTCCTGCGTGGTCTAACATTTGTAGCTTTCCCAGTCTGTATCTGCGTTRTTTAGATCTGAATCCTGTTTTCCTTAGGAATTTAGAAGATACCTGAATTTCAAACGGGTGTGTGGCTGTGCTCCCATCAGAAACATACTTTGATATTTATTTGTATTTAAATACAATTTGTTGAAATTCTTACAGCTCTAAATAAACATTTAAAATGCATGTTTTCCTCCAGGAAAGCCGAGGGTGGCGAGCAGGAAGTGAGTGAGGGTGGTAAATGCTTGGCATCAGCCGAACTCCACTGACAGAATCCGGGTACAATAGCATCAGTCTTTTTTTTTTTTAATTATTTTTTTACACTGCCTCGCATGCAAACAGAAGTGCCTTGTCTGTCGCCCGGCCAGGCTCAGACCTGGGGGAGCTTTATTGCAGGTCGGTGTTTGTGTTGGTCATTCCTGCGCTTCCCGGGAACGCTGCGGCTTCCCGGCGGCCCCACTGCCGATRGCACAGCAAACCCAGAGCTCCTAACCCTGGAGCTGGGAGGAGGGAAATGCTCAGAAACGGGATTTTTTTCCTGAGCATCAGCTCTGGGACTGCATAACACCGTCATAAAAGAGATTTGAAGAGCACCGGGGAGCGYGGCATTGCTGCGGCCGGCGCCGGAGCCGTGAGGAGGGAGGTTGGCAGCTGATGTTGGGAAGGACAGCCRGGCTTGGTGCCTGGCTCCCTTCAAGAGGAACTGGGCTGTTTCTTGCCTCCAGCATACAGTCCTGTCCTCTCAGGGGGTTCCTTTCTTCCCCAAAATTTCCAGCAAACCCATGGGAGCGAGGTGGGTTACTGAGGGCAGTGTTCACCCACATGTCCACAGTGTAGGTTTTTCTGTGGTATTGGAACCGTTCTGCCTGTGGTGAAAGTCCCTCACTTGGGACRGGCATGGAATCTTCACTCTGGGAGCACAGAACATTCCCAACCCCAAATGCTGGGATTCTGGCCGAGCTGCTGGTTGACACGCTGCCACCTTGTTGCTGCCTTGTATGAGCTCCAGCCCTGGTGGAGGGAGCACACRGGGATGGACTCTGTGCTGAAATCTGTCACCTCCACTGCTTTGCATTCCCCAGTCACCGCCCAGGCCCTGATGCTGGTGCAGTGAGAGCAGGAGCCCTGCTGCCTGCAGAGCCAAGTCTTCCTCCCGAGGCTGGGAAAAGGCAGAGGCTGGGCTGGAGTCRCCCCGTTCCTGAGCGTGTTCTGCCTTCCTTGCTGGGTCCAGAGAGCCTGCTCTGTGATTTYGAGAGCAGTGCTGCTCTGTGGTGCTGGACCGTGGCTGCCACAGCCCAGCATCACTCCGAGGATGCAAACAAACCCCACATGGCCCTGCCGCGTAGGGGGACAGACAGCTTTCATGGCTGTGTCCATGAAAACTCCTACGTGTTTCTTCTGGAGCAGCCAGAGCTAATTCAGACCCCGCCAGTGAGAACGAAGGGTTTAAATTGTCCTTTCTCAGCATCTTGCCTCTGCACTTGTCCGTGTCCCCCCGCACTCGGCCTCTGTGGAGCTGGGGACAGAGGAGAGGACAAGCTGGCAGGCCTTGGGCTTCGTTTCCTGGGGGTTTCTCGGGCTTTCCTGCAACCTCGGTGTTTAAACCTAATGCCTTGTATTTATTCTAAAATGGCTTTCATCTGATTTCCCTCTCGGTTAACAATTTAGCTGTCACAATCAATAACGGCGAGGATCCATCCCCGGCCGCCATCAGCTCACGTTACCGTCCTGCAATTACCCGGCGGTGGCACCGCTGCCGGGGCTTTGCTGGGGAATTATCAGGTTACTAATGAAGCCCGGGCAGCGGCGGGCGGCCAGACGCCGCGGCGGTGGGCGCGATCCCCGCTGCCGCGATCGGAGGGGGGYTGCGGGGCCGGCCCGGACCGTGCGCCCCGTCGGGGCGGGCAGCGGCGGGGGAGGACCGGGACGAGCGGGACCGGGCTGCCCCCTCCCCTCCCCGCCGCGCCCGCG